GTCTCTGGTCATCCCCTGCACTGTCTGCAGTCTCTGGTCATCCCCTGTACTGTGTCCGCAGTCTCTGGTCATCTCCTGTACTGTCCGCAGTCTCTGGTCATCTCCTGTACTGTGTCCGCAATCTCTGGTCATCTCCTGTACTATGTCCGCAGTCTCTGGTCATCCCCTGTACTGTGTCCGCAGTCTCTGGTCACTCCTGTACTGTGTCCGCAGTCTCTGGTCATCTCCTGTACTGTGTCCGCAGTCTCTGGTCATCCCCTGTACTGTGTCTGCAGTCTCTGGTCATCTCCTGTACTGTGTCCGCAGTCTCTGGTCATCTCCTGTACTGTGTCCGCAGTCTCTGGTCATCTCCTGTACTGTGTCCGCAGTCTCTGGTCATATTCTCCTGTACTGTGTCTGCAGTCTCTGGTCATCTCCTGTACTATGTCCGCAATCTCTGGTCATCTCTGTACTCTGTCCGCAGTCTCTGGTCATCTCCCTGTACTGTGTCCGCAGTCTCTGGTCATCTCCTGTACTGTGTCCGCAGTCTCTGGTCATCTCCTGTACTGTGTCCGCAGTCTCTGGTCATCTCCTGTACTATGTCCGCAGTCTCTGGTCATCCCCTGCACTGTCTGCAGTCTCTGTCATCCCCTGTACTGTGTCCGCAGTCTCTGGTCATCTCCTGTACTGTCCGCAGTCTCTGGTCATCTCCTGTACTATGTTCCGCAGTCTCTGGTCATCTCCTGTACTGTCCCGCAGTCTCTGGTCATCCCCTGTACTGTGTCCGCAGTCTCTGGTCATCTCCTGTACTGTCTGCAGTCTCTGGTCATCTCCTGTACTATGTCCGCAGTCTCTGGTCATCCCCTGCACTGTCTGCAGTCTCTGGTCATCCCTGTACTGTGTCCGCAGTCTCTGGTCATCTCCTGTACTGTCCCAGTCTCTGGTCATCTCCTGTACTATGTCCGCAGTCTCTGGTCATCTCCTGTACTGTCCGCAGTCTCTGGTCATCTCCTGTACTGTGTCCGCAGTCTCTGGTCATCTCCTGTACTGTGTCCGCAGTCTCTGGTCATCTCCTGTACTGTGTCCGCAGTCTCTGGTCATCCCCTGTACTGTGTCCGCAGTCTCTGGTCATCCCCTGCACTGTCTGCAGTCTCTGGTCATCCCCTGTACTGTGTCCGCAGTCTCTGGTCATCTCCTGTACTGGTCTGCAGTCTCTGGTCATCTCCTGTACTATGTCCGGTCTCTGTCATCTCCTGTAACTGTCCGCAGTTCTCTGGTCATCTCCTGTACTATGTCCGCAGTCTCTGGTCATCTCCTGTACTGTGTCCGCAATCTCTGGTCATCTCCTGTACTATGTCCGCAGTCTCTGGTCATCTCCTGTACTGTGTCTGCAGTCTCTGGTCATCTCCTGTACTGTGTCCGCCAGTCTGGTCCATCTCCTGTACTGTGTCCGCAGTCTCTGGTCATCTCCTGTACTGTGTCCGCAATCTCTGGTCATCTCCTGTACTCTGTATCCCCCGCAGTCTCTGGTCATCCCCTGTACTGTGTCCGCAGTCTCTGGTCATCTCCTGTACTGTGTCCGCAGTCTCTGGTCATCTCCTGTACTGTGTCCGCAGTCTCTGGTCATCTCCTGTACTATGTCCGCAGTCTCTGGTCATCCCCTGCACTGTCTGCAGTCTCTGGTCATCCCCTGTACTGTGTCCGCAGTCTCTGGTCATCTCCTGTACTGTCCGCAGTCTCTGGTCATCTCCTGTACTGTGTCCCGCAATCTCTGGTCATCTCCTGTACTGTGTCCGCAATCTCTGGTCATCTCCTGTACTATGTCCGCAATCTCTGGTCATCTCCTGTACTCTGTCCGCAGTCTCTGGTCATCCCTGTACTGTGTCCGCAGTTCTGGTCATCTCCTGTACTGTGTCCGCAGTCTCTGGTCATCTCCTGTACTGTGTCCGCAGTCTCTGGTCATCCTCCTGTACTATGTCCGCAGTCTCTGGTCATCCCTGCACTGTCTGCAGTCTCTGGTCATCCCTGTACTGTGTCCGCAGTCTCTGGTCATCTCCTGTACTGTCCGCAGTCTCTGGTCATCTCCTGTACTATGTCCCGCTAGTCTCTGGTCATCTCCTGTACTGTCCGCAGTCTCTGGTCATCTCCTGTACTGTGTCTCCGCAGTCTCTGGTCATCTCCTGTACTGTGTCCGCAGTCTCTGGTCATCTCCTGTACTGTGTCCGCAGTCTCTGGTCATCCCTGCACTGTCTCAGTCTCTGTCATCCCCTGTACTGTGTCCGCATTCTCTGGTCATCTCCTGTACTGTCTGCAGTCTCTGGTCATCTCCTGTACTATGTCCGCAGTCTCTGGTCATCTCCTGTACTGTCCGCAGTCTCTGGTCATCTCCTGTACTATGTCCGCAGTCTCTGGTCATCTCCTGTACTGTGTCCGCAATCTCGGTCATCTCCTGTACTATGTCCGCAGTCTCTGGTCATACCCCTGTACTGTGTCCGCAGTCTCTGGTCATCTCCTGTACTGTGTCCCGCAGTCTCTGGTCATCTCCTTACTGTGTCCGCAGTCTCTGGTCATCTCCTGTACTATGTCCGCAGTCTCTGGTCATCTCCTGTACTGTCCGCAGTCTCTGGTCATCTCCTGTACTGTGTCTGCAGTCTCTGGTCATCCCCTGTACTGTGTCCGCAGTCTCTGGTCATCTTCTGTACTGTGTCTGCAGTCTCCTGGTCATCCCCTGTACTGTGTCTGCAGTCCATTGGTTCAGAATATTTTTTTTCTTGTTTTTCACCTCTAAAACCTAGGTTCTTATGGAGTGAAAATATGGTATGTAAGTTACATAGTCCTGACCCCTGTATTATAATACTCTCTATTGTACTTTACATACTCCTGATACCATATATCCCTAATTATTGTAACCTATACAATATGTTGTACATTCCATAGTCCTGACTTCTGCTATTCTACCCTCCACCCACTGCTGTATATAAACATAATAGTGGATTTTTTTTTTTTTATACCCACTGTGTCACAAGGGGACATTTTATAATCTGATGATGTGATTGGGAGCACGAGACTTTTACATGTCGATAATAATGTGATAACATCTTTCAGTGATTTATTATTATTATTATTATTATTATACAGTATTTATAAAGCACCAACAGTTCGCTCAGCTGTACATTACAAAACATGCAACAGTAGAATAACAATACAATGCGATTACATGGGAGGGGTTCGAGGGCCCTGCTCTTTGGAGCTTACAATCTGGAGGGAGGGGGGATGGTGGCACACAGGAGGAAATAGCTGATAGTGGTATTGTTGGACGTGATGGAGAAGTCAATGGGGGGTGGTGCACGGGCTGGGGGGAAAACTAGGAGCTTGTTTTGGAGAGGTTCAGTTTAAGGAAGTGGAGCGACATCCAGTTTGATATGTCGTACAGTAGGGTTTGTGATTCGGGCAGAGACTGAGATGGGGTGAGGTGGGGGTTTTGAGAGATAGATTTGTGTGTCATCGGCATAGAGGTGGTAGTTGAAGCCCTGAGAGTGTATGAGTTGGCCCAGGGAGGAGGGTGTAGATGGAGGAAGAGAAGGTTGATAATGAGGGAGGAGTCAATACCTCAAAGATGGTGGTCTTCAGAATCAGTCCCAGTCTTCATCTTGGTGTTTCTCCCCCCATCCTACACTCTCTGACCTCTGGTGGGGCTCAGCCCTGCTGTTCTTTATGACTAAATCATGGAGTAAAATAAGGAAGTGCAGTACTTCTTGTGTTGGGAAGATGGCGATGAGTGATAGAGGGGGTGGGACCCTCGTCCTATAATCCCCTCATCACTGTCCCTCCTATAAAAGACAGTTCTGATTGTTTCCTCACTCTCTGACTAAGGTCCATGAATAAAGAAATGACCTTGTAGGAGATCAGAGGAGCCATTTCCTAGTTCTCTTGAGGGTCTTGGAATTGTAAGCTCCTCAGAGACCCAAGCTGCCTGATGTGGGCGGAGTCCGGGAGGGAACCAATCAGCTCCTGTTAGTAATCCTAGGAAAGAGTTTTTAAACAAGGTGGGGGCCAAGCTGACGAGGATGGTCACAGCTGAAGGAGAAGTGAGAGGGTCACATAGAAAGGGCCTCGAGGGCCAGATTTGTCCGCGGGCCCCTTGTGTTTTTGACACATGTGCTTTGATGGTAGGTAGTGCCCACCCTTGGAAGGCTGCTGGAAATAAATGGGTGCCCCTTTTACCTATGCAGGGGCTGCCAGCTCAGATACCAGGGCTATGTCTTCCAGCAACTGCATTTAATTCCATGATCTATCAGACCCTCACCCAAGCACATGCTGAGGCCTGACAGCAACAACTCTTGAGTAACAGAGGCTGCTCCCAGGACAGAGGCCCCGGGACTGAGAGGGATCAGAACAGCCCTCCCAAACATTTATCTTCTCCCCCACCACACCTTCTGGGGTTCCCCTTTCAGAGATTGGCTGACCTGTTTATCTCCCTCCCTCCTAGGGGATAAATATTCATAACCCATTGGCTGACCTGTGGATGTGGGCGGAGTCCTGGTTTGGGGGAACCAATCAGCTCCTGTCTAGTAATCCTTCTTTGTCTTTGTATTTTAGTCCATGGTCCGGGAGATGAGGAAAACCTCCGAGGATTGTCTCACTTTGTCTCCAGACTGGGAAAGTAGAAGATGAGGACATCACACAGTATAGTCCAGGAGAAAACCGGCTCCCTCCAATGTCCATCCGGCACCACCCAGTGTAGATGGACCATCGGATTCCTCGTATCCTGAGGACCTTCAGACTGTGTGGGACCGGTCATCTTTCCAACCGAAATGAGAAGTGAGAAGCCTTATTCCTGTCCTGAGTGCGGGAAATGTTTTTCACAGAAGTCCCATCTTTACAGACATCAGAGATTTCACACGGGGGAGAGACTCCATTTTTCTGTCCTGAGTGTGGGAAATATTTTGTAGATAAATCAAAGTTTGTCACTCATCAAATGTCTCATACGGGGAGAAACCGTTTTCCTGTCCTGAGTGCGGAAAAGGTTTTCTCACAGAAGGCCAATCTTTTCAGACATCAGAGGTCTCACATGGGGGAAAAGCCATATTCCTGTCCTGAGTGTGGAAAATGTTTTTCAGGAAAGTCCTATTTTTACAAACATCAGAAATTACACACAGGTGAGAAGCCATTTCCCTGTCCTGAGTGCGGGAAATGTTGTATACAAAAATCAGATCTTGTCATACATCAAAGGTCTCACACGGGGGAGAAGCCGTATTCCTGTCCATATTGTGGGAAATGTTTTTCACAGAAGTTCAGTCTTTACAGGCATCAGAGATTGCACACAGGCGAAAAGCCGCATTCTTGTACTGAGTGTGGGAAATGTTTTGTGCAAAAATCAGATCTTGTCACATCAATCAGAGATCACATACGGGGGAGAAGCCATATTCCTGTCCTGAGTGCGGAAAATGTTTTTCAGATTAAGTTCTGTCTTTCCAGACATCAGAAATCTCACACGGGGGAGAAGCCACTTTCCTGTCCTGAGTGAGGGAATTGTTCCTCACTGATGTCCTGTCTTCCTGTACATCAGGGGTCCCACACAACCCTGGAGGTGTATTAGTGCCTTGAGTGCGGGAAATGTCTTCTAGATGAATGTTGCTGGACATCCCAGCTCTCATGTGGGGAAGAAGCACACCCTGATATACACCTCAGATATACTCCATGGCTGATCTTCATCATGGAAGAAACAGTTCATAAGGAGATCAGAGGTCACCAAAGTCATGGATGAAGTGTAGGGGACCGGGTTGGCATTGACAGCAGGAGGAGAATAAAAATGGAGGAGATACATTTCATTGGCTGAGTACATTTTGTGGTGGAAGATTTTTAAAAAAAATAGTTAAACAAATGGGACCAGCATTCACTCATCCATGACAAATGTGGATCGTTTTTTATTTCATGAAATTACTTCCTATGGCCAATGGCTCCATCTGTTGCCATAATGCAGTATTGATCAGTTTTTTCCTGATGGAGGCATTTCAAGAAAAATGCCCCATTATGGCCACTAGATGGAGCTGACCATCATAGGAAATCGCCACATTAATTAAATAGACCAAATCTATTGCAATGGGCAAATGCTTATCACACTTGACCAACAAATGTTATATTTTTATCAACCCTTTAGTTTTGCTATGTCAGGCCAGGTTTCTTTGTTTTTTTTACCTCCATTTGCACAGAAGGGATGTACACGCACTTTCACCAGAATTGCTATGTAATTTTTTATGAACAGACCCCTAAATATCAGGAGACATTTATACACGGCTCACAAAATGAAAGGAAGACTTTGAAAACCCATCAGATCTCAATGGGGAGAAATCTGCTGGATCTCTATACTGATGTGGACGGGTAATGTGTTTAGGAATGTAAGGATGCCCATCGTTTGATGGAAATGATCGACCTACAGAGGACTGAATTCAAAGACACCCCGAAAATCAAAGTGAAGAAATGATGCAGCAGGCGAGTCCATTTTGCTGAAATGTCATACAGCAACTCAGAAACGGTCCTCAGTAGTTTGTATAGGCCCCCATGTACTTGTATACATGGCCTGACAATGTCGGGGCATGCTCCTAATGAGACGACAGATGGTGTCCTGGGGATTTCCTGCAAGATCTGACCAGGACATCACTGAGCTCCTGGACAGTCTGAGGTGCAACCTGGTGGCGTCAGATGGGACTGAAACATGATATCCCAGAGTGTTTTCCATCAGAATTGGATCAGGTGAGCATGGGGGCCATTCAGTGGTATCAATTCCTTCATCCTCCAGGAACTGCCTGCATACTCTCCCCCACATGAGGCCGGGCATTGTGGTGCACCAGGAGGAAACCCAGGACCCACTGCACCAGGAGGAACCCAGGACCCACTGCACCAGGGAGAACCCAGGACCCACTGCTCCAGCATAGAGTCTGACAATGGGTCCAAGGATTTCATCCCGATACCTAATGGCAGTCAGGGTGCCATTGTCTAGTCTGTAGAGGTCTGTGCGTCCCTCCATGGATATGCCTCCCCAGACCATCACTGACCCACCACCAAAACGGTCCATGCTGAACCATGTTACAGGGCAGCAGAACGTTCTCGCACGGCTTCTCCAGACCCTTTCATGTCTTGTCACATGTGCTCAGGGGAACCTGTTGCTCTCAGCTTGAAAAGCACAGGGTGCCAGTGGTGGACCTGCTGCCAATTCTGGGGTTCAATGGCAAATGCCAATCCAGCTCTATGGTGCCGGGCAGTGAGCACAGGGCCCACTAGAGGACGTCGGTCCCTCAGGCCACCCTCATGAAGTCTGTTTCTGACTGTTTGGGTCAGAGACATTCAACCAGTGGCCTGCTGTGAAGGAAATGTATGTCCTTTAGGTCTGTCATTTTATTTTATCCCCACTCCATTTTGTACTAACATGTTAATTGTTTTGTATTATACCCAGAATGAGTTAATGAAAATATTCTTCTTCTAGCTTAGCCTTGGTAGAGGAGATAGTATCCAATTATTTTCTTTATACTAACAGCACCTGTTTCTGTTATGATATAATTAAAAGTCAAATACTTCTGTCCCATGGGAAAATAAATTGTTGATACTTGTAACTGATTTCAAGGCCTGAGAAAGTCATGTTCATAAGCCTTGACAAGTATCTAGCGAGATTCTATTGTATGTAGTAGATAGTGTTTTAAAACAATTACAAACTTTTATTTCTGGGAAAGTGAAACTCCGCTTCTCATCACTTTTCAGAATTGACGTCAATGTTTGTCTTTTTGTATTCAGCCAATCAATTACTGACAACTCAGCTCTTTTGATACTCTGTGCCCCCCACCTTTCTTCCTTTTGTTATATTTAATTTTCTTCCCACTAATAAACTTGAGAGATTGATTTTACCTATCACTGTGTGTATGTTGTATGTCTGTTGTCTTTCTCTTCTGAGATGAAATCAATCTCCCCGACGCGTCCGTACCTGAAACCGACTATAAAGACTGATAGCCAGGGGCTATGGACAACCTTTCAATTGGAGGTCCCACCGAGATCGGGAGGTCAACCCGTTTGCGGTCACCCGGTAAGATAAACAAAATCTGTCTGTCTGTCCGGCTGTCCCGTGGGGCTCTGACTTAACTCTTGATCTCTGAACTGTGACAGGAGTATTCCGGGAATACTTCATTGAGTCTCCGGGGAGACTCATATAAGGAAAGGGATTTATGTAGAACTGGGGTCTACATTTCAAATATCTACAGACGGGGTCTAGGTATAATTACAGAGTCTTGACTAGTCTGTTGAGGGTAACCAACTTTCTTTTCTTTTGCTTCTATTATGAAATGCATATATAGTATAAGATAATTTGTTTATGAAAATAAGTGAACCCGGTTGGTAAGTGAACAGGGTCAAGTTATTGAAATAGAGTCAATATTTAAGTTCTTATTGTCTAAGCTTTTGTTGAGAGTGATAAGTGGTCATGTGTCACTAGACCCGCTCCGTACTGTCAGCTCCGTACTGTCAAAAATATCCCTCCTTCTCCCAAGAGGACGTGATTTTTTTTTTATTGCAGCACAGCAGCAAATCCAACCCCACAGCCCTCATCCCCCGTCCCAGTCCAGGACGCTGGTGGAAGACCAACCTGAACCCGCACCCAAGGAATTTCCTGATTCCACACAGATGAGGGAACCTTTCTGCTGAAGGGATTAAAAAAGAGATATCATGGTCCTTATTATTATAGATTGGCAAATAAAGCAGGAATAGATAAAATTTTCAGTCCTGGAAGGGCAGGTAGACACAACAACAACCCAACCCCAACCACTACACACACACACAAACGAACAAAAACAACCCCAACAAACAACCACAAAAACACAAACCAAACACAGTCCAAGCAATATCCATTTCTCACTGTGTAGGATACACATTAATAATTAAATTTTAAAATAAGCAGGACATAAAAGACTGTGTTTAACAAAACATTATTCTGTTGGTTTGAGACATTCCGTGTTTTACAACAGCCATACCGACTGATGCTCTGAATTTTTTCAGTAAATTGATTTAGCAAATGCATTTTTTTAGCGTCCTTGTTTGATGCAGAGACACAGCCCATTTTTTGCTTTCTGTTTAATGCCTCAGGGTTTTTGTAGATTTTTCGTAGTCTACAGCAACTGTTCTCCAGGCCACTCTGAGGGGTGGACACCGGACTATGGGTCAGTCCTGCTGCAGTACGCGGATGTTCATCTGCCTCTGCAGTCTCACTAAGGGGGCCGCCTGAGATGGGGAGAGTTTGTTGAAATGTCTTTTTGAAGGTGGACACAAAGTGTCAAAGAAAAAACAACAATGGTGTAAAATAAGTGTTGAATATCTTGGGTTTTGTTTTACAAAAGGAGAAAGGAAAGTCAGTCCAAAGAGAGCTGTGGCTCTCCTGAAACTTGCCCGCCCACAAACCAAGGAAAGACATGCTCTCCTTTCTTGGAGCCATTGGTTAACTGCCCCCACCCTTAGGATACCTGACTGTTCCTATTATGATAAGTCACAACCCAGCAAATGTCAAAATTGTTAAGTAGTCAGATGACATTGGTTGATGCATATGTGTATTTGAAAAATGCAATGGTAACTGCGCGCAGGCCTTGAGCCCCTTCCTGACTATGTAAAAATGGTTTTCTGTGTATGCAAGGGACAATTGTAAGACCATGGCTGGTGTACTCGCCCAAGAGCATGGAGGCCGACTTTGCCCTGTAGTTTTTTCTCAAAAAATGGTGCCAGGTTCAGGTCCAAGGCATGCCTGCTGTCTCAAAGTGTTGGCATTTTATGTTATGGCTGTGGAGATGTCTATGTTATTCACCTTAGGACACCCCATGATATTGCACACTACACATAATTAGCTATTTTATTAAGAAATATACACACTTAGCACATGTCCTCCCAATGAATTCAGCGGATATGAGGTTATCTTGATGAGCAACCCCATGTTGCATATCAAGTATAGCGCGCAAACAACTCAGTGTCCCAGCAATGATCCTAAAGGCATTGTTGGGTCTCAAATTGTCAAACATGATCTAGGATCCGAGGTTTATGACTGCTTTCAAATCCATTGAGGCTAATATTTCACCCAGACTAGATTTATTAAAGATTCCAATCCCAAATGCTGATGTTGTTTCATAGATGGCTCCTGCACTAGGCCAAATGACAAATCCCTTTTCAATCAGCCCAGGCTGCTGAATTGATTGCTATTCACTAAAGCATGTGAACTGTACAAAAGATCAGTCTGGTCACTATTTACACGGATTCTAATATGCCTATGGAACAGTGTATGACCATTGGTGTAATTATGGTTTCTCAGAGGCTACATAGGAGCTGATGGGAAAAAGATTGCCCATTCCCAA